TACATAATATTATTATGCCGAAGCAGAAGGATGGTTATTTTGAGAAGAATCAGGAAAAGGGTGCCCGGAAGTGCGCGCACGCGTGCGCGCGCGTGACTATGTTTTTTCGAGTGTATATATATATGTATATATATATGTATGTATATATATTATTATATGGCTGGCCATGCAAAATGACTTGTGGCGAAAGCAAAAATACTTTATTTGCATTATATTGTAACTAATGTTTTAGCGTGAACATCATCATCATTGCCTTTCTCACACTGGATCAGGATGTAGGCCACCAACAAACACTTTCTACCTTTACCTATCCTGGGCTAGTTGCTTGAGGTCATTCCATGTCTTGACTGTCTCCCCACTTTTCTGTACATCGATTTCCGTTACTCTTTTCCAGGTCCATGTGGTCTTCCTCTTGATCTTTTACCCTGTGGGCTCCCATCTAAGACTTTCCTTGTTATGCAGCTGCTTGACTTGTCCAATCCGTTGCCAACGCCTTCTTCCCATTTCATCTCTGACTGGGCCCTGTATCATTCTTCTTAAAACTTCCTCGTTGTTTATCCTGTCGGTCTATCTGATCCTCAGTAGCTTCCTCAGCCATTGTTCAGGAAAACCTGGATCCTCTTTATGCACTTTTGAGATGTGTTCCATGTCTCACATCCATACAACAAGACTGACTTCACATTTGAGTTGGAAATCCTCTGTTTTGTTCGTAGTGAGATATCCCTTGTCCTCCACATCCTGTTCAAAGATATAAATGCAGTCTGAGCGTAAACTAAAATATTGAGACTAATGATAGAGAAAGACCGCATAATTAAAATGTTTCAATGATGTATCAGACTCGCCACTCCCCACACTTCCTATTTATTTATACCTTAGAAATGTTTCCCTTGGCCTCATTGTTAGTTCCTCAGTATCGCTGCACTTACACAAATTTAATACACATGTGTCACTGTTCTAGCCAGGCTACGAATTTTACAGTTCTAAAAAACGTTTTGGTCTTCAGCTGGAACACTTCATGGGGCATGGACGGTTACATTCTGATGAGCAGGAACAAGGACAACCAGTGCGGTATTGCTACCATGGCCAGCTATCCCACCAACGTCAACTAATATTATGTTATTTTGTCACAATAACTGTGTGTCTTATTTGTCCATGGTGCAATAATATTATATTTGTATGAGTTCGATATACTTTTTTCTAATAAAAATCAATTATGTCTTAATGAATTGTCAGAGTCAAATAATTTGTTCTTCTAAGGACATCACCAGACAACTGTAACTTTTACATTGTCCCGTAATGTACGCTTTATTTGTATCTGGCAATGTTGATTGGGGTAACATCTTTATTTTTTTTTCGTACGACTTTGTCTTTGTTATTTGAACATGTTATAACGACCTGACTCCACAACCTTCACTTACCTCTCCCCCACCACCACCCCCCACCACTCACGTGTTTTTAACAACCAAAAACATGGCATCATTCATTAGATCTAATGTATTTGTGAGGCAGCGTGGTGGAATCAGGCTCTCATCAAAATAATCAAAGTGAAGAAACTGGCTTTTTTCTGCAGATTTGAGAAATTTTATCGAATTTGTGGTTTTTGGCTGAACACCTTTCATGCTTATTAAAGAACTCATTTCTTTGTGGATTTGACTGAAAAACGTGGATTGAAGGCACAAAAAATGTACATTTTCAGTTACCACGGACTCTCATGCTAAGGAAATAACTAACTTTTGGCAGCCGTTTTCTCTTTCATTTTACCTCTGAAACCAGGTGGCCCCAACCTCCTTCATTTGCAAATATCTCGACTTGTATTCAAGATAAATTGATATTTTTTTCATCCAAATAAATACAAGTAAACAAGCTTTAAGATGATACCAATATCTCTAGATGCCCAAAAATTGACGAGAGCCTGATTCCACCACGTCATGCCACATTTATACATCTATTCCCATCTCCCTTCCTCCCTCATCGTTTTTAAATTTAGCTATTCATACTATCTATATGTTAAAAAGAGGACTAATTTAAAGAGCAATAATTCAGTAGTCTTTCCACTAATTTCAACAAAAGTTTGAACATTATAATACTCAAACTAGATAGAGTCATATTTGTCAATTTGAAGAACATCAATTTACCTTCCCGAGAAACAGAAATCTCAGTGGGGGGGGTTTTATTTTAAGTTTAAAAGGCATAATTAAGCAAATCTTAAAGACTGTAAAACAGCTAACCACAATGTGTGTCTGTGCGTTCAAGGGCGTTAGATTTATTTAAAACTGGCTTTGCGAATCAAACCCACGGAAGTCAAGGCTATTTAGATTATATCATGCTCCAGGTGTTAACCATTTCAATCCTGACTAGGTCATATACACTGTTGGAAATTTAGAATAACACTGTGACATATTTTTGGTTCGATTGTTTGGACCTCCAGTTCAAGACTTTGTTCCAACTGCTTGATGGTGTGTGAGTTGTTACCGGAGACTGGCTTTCAACCAAAAAAAAAACAAGAAAAGACCAAAATCCCACCTCCAAAGAATACTTTGTATTTTGGACACGACATCCATTTATTTCTATTCACCGTCTGTTGCAATTTCAGAGTGAAATAAGTTTATTAGTTAAGACAAAAATATATATTATGTTTAACTTTAACGAATGTATAGATCGGTACATAATTTAATGTTTTAGTTACAGCTTGTTGAACTTTTAAAAACCTGATTTTTTTTCGAACAAAACGAATGATCTTCCTTATTCTGACACATTTAACGTTTTCTTGATGACACCTTCCAAAATATCAAAACCAGCTGCAAACAACAACTTTTAAAATTCAACTCAAACAGCACGGACATTGAGCTACTATTCGAGCTTTTCGGTCAACCTGTACGTATAGAACGGGAGAGGGGAAATGAGATAGGAAGACACATACACACATACATACATATATACACATATACACGCATACACAAACATACACACAAACAGATACATACACACACACACACACATACACACACACACATACACACACACACACACACA